GGACGCCATGGGTTCGTGGCTCGAAGTGGCCCAGAGCTCTTGGTACAGTAACCCCTCGCTTTAAAGTTAGAATCCTAACACGGGAGCGAAGAAACTGAACCGTTACCACCACTGTTTATGTTTCTCCGGCTCGAGCGACTTCTCTACTCAGAAATTAGTGGGAAACACGGCATTTAGGATCGAAATAAATGCTGGCGTTAGGTCAGTATACAAGTTTGCACCCTCTGATGTATTTTATAGTAGAACAGGTTTCCTTGATACTTGATAATTTCATCATTCCTTAAAGATCGATGACAGACCCTGTTTATGTATCAAGATCGAATAATTGTCCTTAACATTCAGAATTACTTTTTCTACTGCTTCAGTGAAAAACACCATATACGGGTGACGCGACGATCAACGTGAAATATGCATGAACTTATAAACTGACCCGATATACGGAACAAAAGTGTTGAAAATGATTACGTATCATTTTCACAGAACGTAGATTGATAAATGCTACGATAAAAGGTTAAGAATGCACGAGAGCCCCAGGACAGTATCTCGAAGCACGCCAAACCTAACCGTGGTCTTCTGTCTGGTACACCATGTATGGCGCACATGCGAGAAAGGGGTTATCGATCGTCGCGAAAACAAGGAGCTAATCGCGCTGAGAAAGGCACAGGGGCTCGATTACGATAATTCCTTTAGGGGGGCAGAGACGTGAAATGGTCGCGCATAAAAATGGAGGGACAGCGGCCCGTCAACGTTTCTGGGTCCATCGGCGCAGAAATCGCGCGATCAAGAATAGGGAATAATGGGAAGCGTAATAGTCGTTGGATTCGCGCGGGACGGAGAGCGCGCGCACAGTCGCCGGACCAATTTGCAAATAATTCGAAATTTACCGCCGGGGAACTGTGCCATTTGCTGGTGGAATATTTGATCGTCCGATTGAACGATTTCTCCCCCCGCCCGAACGGATAAAATATTCCGCCGGGAGAAGCGATTACATACGTCGCGTAATCATGATCCGCATGAATGAAACCGTTCGAGGAGTCGATGTTGTTGTTCCGATGAATTTTCCTTTTGGCATTTTTGAAATTTTTTCCGCGTCAGCGGCACTGCAAAGCAGCGTTAAAATCATTTTGAACGGTGAAAAATATTTTCGAAATTATTTTTTCTGTAATATCACTAGCCGTCGGTGGATAGCCATTTTATAAACAAACGCGTGCGTAAGGGAAATTTCGCTATTGAAAATTGCGCGTGTAGCTCACGCGATTATTATACCAATTTTAGATACCGATTCTTTTTTCCTGAAAAGATATGATACGTTTTTCGAAATAACGATTAGACTCGTGCTCGTGCCAAATGAAAAACGTAAATTTTCTTTCTTGCTCGTGTAGTTATAATTAATTAACCAGACATTACGTTCTAGCTTGTAAATTGAAACAACGTGACGAAACAACGAACGATTTTAGAATCGAAGCCATCCCTCAAAAAAGCATTGGTAAACTTTCATGTTGCTGGAAACGTTAGTGAAACCGTAAAAGATATCTAAAAAAAATTTAATTCAAAGTTGTATGGTATCCGATATTCTACACTGCAACATGGTAAAAAAGAATTTTCGATGGAAACTTCGTTTATTTCTTTTTTATTTCTGTAAACGAACATTCTGCCCTGATTACACGTTTGGTCTTCGCGGTATCGTGTACTCTTCAATTTTCTTTTTGCAATATTCCAAATAAAAACAGGAAGTGATTAAAACTAGTAACGGAAATACACCGATTTCCTTTAGATATTATAAATATAATTCTGTGTAGGTGGTATCGAAGCAAAAGTAATTGCTCGGTATTCCCTGGAAGTATTCGTAATACTTTAAATTTCCTCGTAGATCGACCTACGATTTTTATTTATTTACCACGAACGTATACGTTCCGAGAAAAACGATCCCATAAGTATAAGGATTCGACGAAAAATGATTGGACCTTATCTTGGAACGAAATTCAACTGTCACGTTCATATTATATATGTTGGGAAAATATACAGCGAGAGTCACTTAAATCATACATTTTATGATTTCCGCGGATAAAACGTATAAATCCGAACGAAAGTGATATAGGATCAGCTAATTAACATATTAGTCTGTAATCGTAAGAAAAAAAAGTACCGTAAACGTTTACGATCGTCTCCCGTAAATTCAAGTTATCCAATAATGGTGGCACACGGAGAAAATACGAAGCAGAACAATTATTTACTTCAAGATGTGACTTATCACAGGGAAAGCAATTATTGACACAAGGATCAAGACACAGATGGTTGAAACATGAACCTACAAGGTTTCTTACGTTCGATGTATCGACGAGAACCGAGAAGAATTCAATCGTTGAGATCCGACATGTTCCTCCATTTCGGAATGATTCGTTCTTTCATTTCCCCTGTTATCAGAAAATACTCGATTCCGCGAGCGTATCGTGGAAAATCAAAGAAAAGATGAAAGGACACCGGAGGATCGGGTCCGTTGATTAATCTGTCAAAAAAATTCAACTCCCTCGATCACGAAGAAAATTCGTTTCGTCTGGAAATCAGTATTCCGAAAAAATCCTCGACGATTCTCTCTTCAAACGTGGGACTCGTCAATAATGTCGTTCGCGAAACCCTCTTAAATTCGAGCGTACGGATCCGTTGTAAACCCGCGGTATTGCGAAAACTGTCAGGCGTACGATCTATCGTTACTCTATTTGAACTGATTTACATAATTCCGGTATATCTCAGGAAACCCACGGATATATTCGTTGGGAACTTCGACCCCCGTACGCTTCGAATGAATTATTTTGTGTACGCAAGGTTACGGAACCCAGAAATAATTCAACGTGAAGTATTCATTGTGCATTAAACGCGGATTAAATTTACATGACAATTCGGTAAACCGTGCAATTTCGAGTGAAGTGCGAAACGGAGGCAGTTTTGGCGTGAAGGTCAGACACGTGACGCGCATCGCGTGCGAAAATTTCATTGTTCTATTCGTGGAGCGTGCTGGGGAACGCCTATAGGCGTCCATCGCACGGAAGGCGCTGTTGGACTTGTTAATTTTGAGTAGATCGTTTCGTGGATTATTGTCTATATGTCTATGGATGGATGATAAATTGATTACATTTGAAAATTTCAACAAATATTCAAAATAAATCTTACAGGGAAATAAAATAAAGAAGCTAAACACACTGGTCCCAAGCCTTTGCTAGTAAAGAAAAAATTAAATTAAACCTCGGTCTTACCAGCTCCAATTATTCAACATCAATCGAGTCTCCGATCCAGTGCTCGTTTTCCTTTTAATAATTTTCTTCTCTCCTATTGTGTGAAACAGCAATCAATGCATTAAAAGGTATCGTGACGCTCGGTTAATTATATTAAAAACCCTTCGACGTCTGGGCAAATATTGACCCAGTTCGAACGAATATATTCGAGCGAAGAACTCGTCTCGATTCCAATTCTCCCGGGTCTCGAACATCTTGAGCCCTGACGTTTCTTAAGACCCGCGAAGAAAAATCTATCGATGACTGCGTGTTTGTGTCTCACTTAATCGAAGAAAAACAGAACAGAAGTAAAAAGAATTCGAACGCGTCCAAATGATAGGCAAGGCCTCGTTAAAAATCCCGATCGCAGGGGGCAAAGTGGTTCCGCGGATTCGAGAAAAGTAAGAACAAAAAAAGGCAGAAAATAGAGGGGGGGAGGGGCGGAAAAAAACGTTTGCACGACGAATTTCAGCGGAGTTGCTTTCTCTCCGATAAACCCGACCAGCAACCAAGCCAACAGGAACAATGCAACTTATCGAGCGACACACATACCCGGTTATTGGCGCGCCAGATAAGAGGCGGACGAAAAGAAAGAAAGGATCGCGAAAAGGGTTGGGAAACACGCGGAAGGCTTCCTGAAAACTGCCACCATCGTGTCACGTGGAATTAAGCCGAGCGATTCACCGTAATCAGAAATGTACACGCGAACGTCGTGTCGACTGAACACCGTGTTATCGCGATCGCTAACCGTTCGCGAAATTAACAAAGTTCAGACCTCGTTTTCGAGGCGAAATGCACCTTTCATGAGACACTTGTTCCCAGCGAACGGTGAGCAAGGTAAAAGTACCGGTAGTCCACCGTGAAACCAGGCAGTCTACACTAGCACAAAATTAACCGAGCCGAATACGTCGCAAATCCTTGCCGGCATGCGCCACTTTAACGCTGTTTTAAGGGTACGAATGAATTCAAAGAACGTATGCACTTCATTAGAATTTTATTACCAAGAAACTGTTAGACGTTGAGTGAATAAGCTTGTTGGTATTTATTGGTATAGGTTTTGAGGTGATAAATACATTTTTGGTGTTTTTTTTTTTTTTTTTTTTTTTTAAGTGCTAGGGAAGTTAGAGAGCTAGAGAATCGAGAAGCTTATAAAACTTTTCTTGATATTCTGTTTTGTTTTTCATTGCTGTTCTTCTCCAGAAAATTCAACGATGCAGCAGAAATTAAAAAAAAATATCACATTTAATGCTCGGAGGTTGTTTTTGCAAATGTCGATGCATTGATCGAGGTCGTTTTTGCCTAGAAACTTCATAAACAAGCGGAATAATTGCAGACTCGACTCTCCTTTAGAGTTGCTATTAATGAAAAGGCAACAAGTTCGCAATACAATTTAATTTCTAATTAACTCCAGTGGTCCGTCCTTTCTTGTCAGCTGATTTTCTCTTTCACGGAGCACGGCTATTCATCTCGACATGGCTGAATCGATCGTCCCGTCTTGCATTCGAATTTCTCGCAAAACTTCTCTTAACGATTGCCTCGAAAATCGCGGTCCCTTTTCACAAAAGCGTTTAAATACCAGAAAAGTGATACTCCGTGAAAGGGGGAAAATTGAGTGCAACGGCGAACGAGGCAGAATTTCGAACCTGGTGGTCGTCGAGTATTCTCGTGCTGAATTTCTGCCGACCGTTTGTTCCTGTCTACAAAAGAAATTATAAGTTTATTCTTAATCGGCTGTAAAACCGAGCACCCTTGTACACCATGAACCAGTCCACTGAAAAAACACCTCTAAAATAAGAGGGCAGTAGAAACGAATAAATACTATAATTATATTAACGCGTATAATTCCCGTTTTATTTATTCAGCTCGACGATTAACAGGTCGAGCCCCAATTCAGTACACGCGTATTAATAACGTATCGCAATTTAAATTGCGCGTAGCAAGAGAGCCATGCATATATACAATACGTTAGTGGTTATATTATCAATACTAAATACTAACAGCAGAACCGAGTAGCATGAATAATGTGGACTTGCAACATTGCTAATAAAGCAGAAGAAATAGAATAGAATCAATTGATAGCAAGCAATTATTTTTTATTTTCCCACGAATAAAACAAAATACGATAGAAGGTTGTAAGCCCAGTTATAATGTATAATAATGGTTTGCACCTGGAATATTTTAAATAGGACGTTACTGGTATCCCGGAGGGGAATAATAAGTAGTAACAGGTAATCGTCTCGAACGAAGGAAGACGTAGAATTTATTACCCAGATATTCGGGCACTCGGGTAGAGAGCTCGATACATATTCAACGGGAATAATCGTTACGTTAATGCTTCGTGTCCGAGGCTGACAAAGAACCAATCCTTGATTCCAATTATCAGCGCGTTTGTTTCGTAACCGCAATCCCGATAATTAATGGAGGGACAAAGTTTGAAACAGAGTTTCCCCGTTCGACGAGGGAACTCTGCGAAAATAACTGTCCGATGCTATTCGACTTGCTAAAAGCGGAAAGGCAACAACCCCCGAGACATTACGTACCAGTCATTTCGCCGTGGCGTGCAGGCTTATTCGATTAATCGATCCGCAACTGACGTAACCCGCGTCGAGAGAGACGAGGATGTCTCGGGAAATATTAATGACGTCGGTCGGAAATCGTGAACAAAAAAAAAAGTAGGAGAAAAAGATATTTTTCACTTTTCGAAATTTTGATTCAATATTGCCACCGAGACACGGAGTTGGAAAATTGACGCACAAACATGGCGTCTGCGTGGAATAAGGAACATTACTTCTGGGATGATCCGATTAGTGACTGCAGATAAATAAAGAAACTTTGTAATCCAGTCTGTGCAAGTATACTATATTTTCTTAGATAGGAAATCCATGATCCTTTCGGTATATGTGACAATTTATGGAACAGGTCTTCGGTCTTCGTTCTTGGTTTCGAAATTTTTTCTGACCTAATAGTTTCGTAAAAATTGAAACGCGTTGTTTACGTGCTTCTGTAATGTAAAATTCTTGAACATGTTCCGGAAAGCCTCTTCAAGGGTACAAGACACTCTAACAACTAGGGACAACTGATAAACTTCAAGTATACAACAAAAAAAAAAAAAAAAAAAAGAGATTACAAGTAATATCGTTGACGAAGAGAATGAATGGACAGCGATTGAACGTATCAGGCGCACCCGTGCACCAAAGAAAAAAATCAGAAGGCTTTCGAGCGGCGCGACTTAATACATTCCATCCGTTCCAGCGTTATCGGGGAATCATTTCGCGTTTATTATCGTCTTATTGCGATTGTCTTTATCTTGAAAACGGACGTTTTATCGTGATTTCTCACTCGACGAACGCCTCTTTCGCTTTGCAGCGCCGTCGAAGCGCGTAAGGGCTCCGCGCGGGCCACTTTTCCGCGAAATACGAAAACCGCGCGTCCCACCCCCCAGCAACACCTTTCGCCTCCCACCGCTGACGAAATCCCTGTCCCTCTGCCCCTCCGCCGTTTGTGTATTTTCCCGTTCGCTCTAAAGAACTTCCGTTTTAATTTATTCCCGGAAGCTGGTGCATCCGTGACAGCGGAGACCCCCGGAGGAGGAACAGTATCAGAAGGAAAAGTTTCTCGGCTATTTCCAAGGATTACCTTCTACTTCCTCGGGCATGGGTTGCTGCGGCTGCTCGGACGAGCCCTCGTCCAAGGTGGAGCCTAGGGTAAGAGTTATTTTTTATGATTCCACCGGCTGAAATTTCCACTCAAGTATTTTAATATAAAACTTTGAGTTTTGCTCTTGTCACGGTGAACTGAGCTGCACCACTTACAAGAAGAGGGGACGTGGACCGCGTCGCGTGATTTTTCTTCCTAGAGGGGTTGCCTTGCGTCTTGTGTTGAAATATGGACAATATTTGGGATTTTCACTCGTTTTTTTTTCTTTTTTTTTTTTTTTTTTTTTTTAACGGACGAGCATGCAACGAAGAAGTTATTTATAGTAGGATAACTAGTCGAGCTTCTAGGTATGAAAGGAAAACATAACGATCCACTAGTTCCGCAATCTACAGAAATATGAAAATTAAATCCACAAACAAATGGAAAGGACAAATGCCTGAAGAATACCAATATTTGTCACTGTCACTTCCTGGCTCTCAGGAAGAAAATATTTTCCACTCAAGGTCGCTGAACGTCTGTCCCCTCCCTTCCTCCCTATCCTCTGTTTGGTCATCACTGCGCCATCTTTTGCCTCACCGTTGCACTAGAAAGGGTGACGCGGTTCACCATCGACGAGGCGACCTTGAACGACCAATATTTTCTGGCTCCGATGTAGTCACGTGGTCGGAGATCGGCCTACATGAGACGACAGGGTAGCTGAATTCAGTGGATAAACGACGGGTTAAACGGAGTCTGCGACGCTCGTTGCGCGGTAATGAATTTCAGTATTAATTGGACGTTTTAGTTGGGTCGGTGACAGTTACAGTTGGCCCTTTAAATGAAGAGACTTGGATGTTATACGTTCTATTCGTTGGATTTCCGTTCCTATTTTCGTACCGCTTTGAACTATTACGCGAATACTTTCAATAAAATAATCAAGATTGGCGTAAAATTTCGCGGTGACGTTTTCACCTCATTCCGAGAACGTAACAACGATAAGCTTGACACGGGGTAAAACACCAAAAAAAAAGGGTAAACGCGAATCGGCCCTTTCATCGAGTCCTCTGTCAAATGAAAATAAATACACGCGAAGCAAATGACAAAAGTTTACGTGCGGAATTAAAAACTTTACTATGCATACAACGTAGAGTCTTACACCGAGTACACTGTTACTCTGTAACAACATACATTTGCATTTTCTAAATGGAAATAACAGTTTCGCTAACAAGCAAGCTGCAAGTTGCCCTTTCAAAGCACTATCTTCTTAATATTTTTCTATTAAAGTTGCGAAACTTAATAACGGAAGTTAGCCTAAGGAATTTTAATTTAGAAACTCGCCCAAACGACATGCACACTCGGTTGCATAATCTACGATAGCTGCGTAATTAACGCACGTTTCGCCAATTCTTTTGATACGGGCAAATTATAAAATTCCGTTTCCTTGTCTTTCTCGCGACGGCGAGTTTCTTTCGCTTCGGGTAATGGAAAGTTTGAATAAAAACTGAGATGACGTATATTGATGACAATGCGTTTGTGTGCGGAACTTCAGTCCAGAATCCTGCTAGCCATATCTCATTATATTTTTATAATAGCACCGGAATACAAATTTTATTTCCTACCACTTAAAGCGCATCCTGCTTTATCTCAAACGGAAAAAGTCATGCTTTTAACGATCAAACTTCGTATAAAAAGTTTCAAATGGCGTATTACGGATGCAAAGTCTGTATACACGCTGCGTGACACAGAAATAACAATAAGAGCAACGATAACCAGCCGTTGAGATTTTTTATTTTACTTTTCTTTCAATTTGTCATACCATTTTTGATGATCATATCGAACTGTAAATAAAGTGCCGTTTTCACGAGTTCAAACGATGCCAATCAATATAAACTTTAGTCGATGAAGTACCGTAGTTGCAAATGTTGGAAAGTGTCGCAAGAACACGTTTCTTGTATCCTTTTATTTTTATTCTTCGTCTATGTATTATTTTTCTCTACTTTTTTTTTTTTTTTTTTTAACCAGCGTCATATTTCCGGTTGTATTTATCGTAGAGAGTTTTGCAAGGACTCGTTTTCTTTTTTGTTGAAATATAGTTTTCACGGCATTGTTTCATTTGTTTTGCGAAATTCTAGCTGGTTTTGGAACTGTGGCGCAAAAACTGAATAAATCTACTTCCAGTAGTTATTTTGAGAAAAACGTTTAACTCAAATCGTTCTACTTTTGAGTCGATTTCGCCTCCAGAGGCTGACGTAGCATGCGTCAAATAAAGTAAACGAAGCGACATCAGATGGCGCAGCGTTCTTACGGGATAGTATGGAGTGGGGATAACGATACAGTGACCTTGAGCAACCAATACTTACTGTCTCGGATAAGAAAGTGTGTATTTTCGTATTCCTGGAAGCTGCAGGCTTCTCAGAGACGGATTGTATAATTACGTCTAAACGTAAGGATTCGTGGTACGCGTGCCAGCAGCATTAAAGTAGTTTAAATGGAGCTTGTGGGTGTACGTATGCAGGTGTGTGTGCGCGCGTGATTATTGTTAAGAACGGAGAGCGCAATGCGAGAGTAGGATTCAGGGCGAGAGTTGAGTGAATATAGCAAGTGGAGCGGGCGTACGGAGAGTTTTAAAAAGAGTTTTAATGAGAGAGCGCAATGCGGGAAACTGTTGCAATATAATTAACATATGCGATACTAAACTCCGTCCAAACCTTTCGCTGCGGTGACCCAAAACCGTTTAACGTGGAGGTTATTATAAGTGCCTGCTGCAAGTATCCATTTATTGTCTAACCTTCCGATATTAAACGACTAGGAGAAAATGAGGCATGGATGTGAAATTCTAGCAACCAGTAGTCACCAAGTCACTGAAAAAATCCTGCTTCTATTAAATTTCTGTTCAATCCTCTTTCTTTAATTGTTCAAATTGAAATACGAGAGCTAAACTTTTTCGCTTTTGTACTCGAATCCATCGTCAGAGTAAATATTATGAAACTATATATGATTATACAATTTATACTCAAAATCACGGTATGTCAAATTCAAATATTTACTTAACACGCCATTAAATACTCCTTTAGCCGAATGTTTAATTTTCTTTGTCGTTTGAAATATATATTTACATTGAACATATTTCAACGTAACCGCGAGATCTGTCGGATAACTATTCGACCTAACTCGTCCATTTGGGGTAACGTAGCTTAAATTGCCCATAGTCTCTTGAACATGTAGATTTACGGTCGCCATGTACCTGGTGACAGGAAAAAACTCGCGATAATGATGTTATCAATACGACACAATGGCGTGCATTTAATAAGGCGAAGAGGAATTTAATTACGGTCTCGACGCTAATGCAAGGTCACCGTCAAAGAATCTAATTAATTTAGGGTGGCGGCTGCACACGGTCTGACTTGTAACAGGGTTACAAGTTCCCCTCTGTCGGTGAAACGGCGCGGATTCGCTAAAAGCATTAGCTCCGCCCGATTTCACCGACTGAAAATTTACTGGTACGCGAACCGCAAACGATAGATTCGGCTTTTTCGATCGTATTATAGAAACGTGCGCGTATTTACATCAAAGTTCGCGATTGAAGTGGTAAGTCGACGATCGAGTGTATCCAATCGGAATGTACACTTTTAGCACTCGTTTCAAAATTACTTTGTTCAGTTTTCCTCCACTTCTTTCCATTCTTTCACTCGACGGTTGAATTTTTCCAATATATCGATGCACCAATCTGACGATTAGTAATTTCTATATTATGAAAAAGTAAATAATGATTCCCGAATTGATACGATCGAAGATACAATTAATAAAAGCGTATTTCTTATCGTTAATCCAGCTGCAGTTAATCGAATCGATAATGCCAATGACGATATAGTGTTATTAATTGCAACAATCACGACCATAGAATCTGTTAAAGCTAAAGGAGTATTTAATGGAACCGAACGAATAAATTCATCATTATTATTTATATTTCCGGCGAATCAATGAAAGCGTCTAATTAATTAAAGATGCGCATTTTGCACCCGTGTTGCGATAAACCGAATCAAAGGCACTCCTTTCGTTTAAAACGTTGCATCGTTCTATATAGAAGCAAAACAATTTAATCGAAGACTCTTATTTATCTTCTTTGAATGAGCATATTCCATATTTTTTTATTATTATTATTATTATTATTATTATCCTTTTTGTTTTTTTGTTTAATAATCGGAGAAACGTACTCGGTCGCACGGACGAAAAGTTTTAAATCGTTAACACGCGGGTCGGGAGGTTTCGAGCGCGGCTCTGTGAAAGGTTCGTTGATTTTCGATAAAGAGTTTTTTTTAATTATACGGCGCGCTTCAGCTTTCCAATAGCGCCGCGGCAATTTCGATTTCGAAACGATTCGCCCGTTTATTGAAAAGTATAAAGACTGCGTGCAGACGAATCGCTGCGAAGCACAATATAAAATAAATGAATTATCCCGTGCATTTGGGATGAGAATTTTTTAAACGGTACGAACCGTATATCAGAGAGGTTTTATTAAACTAAGTGGTAACCTCATTGTCTCGTATTTTGGAAAATATTAGACAGGAGCTTGTCTTTCTAGAAACGTGAGTATTACTGAAGCAAAGATTAACTCAATCACGTACCTTTGCATTACCAAGGGTGCTCTAATAAAGCACGAAATTATTTTCTGATTCGAGGTAATCAAATTCTTGAAATAATATTTCATATAATATCAGCAGACCCTGACGTTATATCCAGGGATCGCAGAGCTACGTTTCAAAGCTTCCATTAAATTAACGCTCTGAATCTTTATTTTACGTGACTATGAACAAAAAAATCGCAAAAATGATATGCTGCAATTTCAAATTACCGCTGAAACACACGCCAGACTTGAAGTTGGCCAAGAGAAGTTCCTCGCTCACGAATTGCCATGTTTGTCGGTTTCAGACGCCAGAAAATGATGAGGGCATGTCATCGAGACAGTCCGAGCAGATTTTCGTCACCGATCGATCCTGCACCGACCTTTTGGCTCTGATCGTTCTGATCGCACTCGTCGCCGGTTACGTATGTCTCTACTTGGTCCTATTCTCTATCTCTGTAGTCGCGACGTGCCCCGTGCGACGAGAAAATCTTTTCCTGTTCTGCTTCCGGCGCAGGGTTTTCTGGCGAGCAACGCTGTGAAGAAAGGAGACATCTACCGCGTAATAAATGGCTACGATAACTGTGCAAACGTTTGCGGCCGCGTCACGCAGCACGAAACTGATCCCAAATTTAGTTGCAAGGGTGGGGACATGACGGACAAGCGGTAAGAATCAGCAATCTTCTATCCGTGGTCCGAGGAAACCGTGCTCTGTCGTCCGAGTTCGTACGAGCGTCCATCGTCGGACATGGGCAAAATTTTATTCAAATAATCGGTGACAATTCATTCGTTTTTCGTTTGGTCATTGTGAACAATTTTTGTGGAAATCTTTGTATATTATATTAGTAATGATAATAATCTGATAGAATCGGAGTATTTAACAAATTTGTTCATGTTTTGTTGACAGGATTAAAGAATTTAAAATTCTATACAATTACGAATTAATTTAGATTTTTTTATTCTCTTTCAGTAGTACATTAGAGTATGTTTATTTTCGTTTTTATTCGCAGACCAATGGATATAAAGTGGTCTTTTCTTTAATTCGTTATTGGGAGTTTTTATTTAGGAAAGAATTTCGCCCATCTCTGGCTGCTAGTCGCACCGGGAATGCTGCGAGGGTCGAGTGATAAGCTCATTCGGATACTTTAATAGGACGTCGACTTGTATTGCGGCTATGAATGTCAAACAGTACCTAATCGCGATCTACCGAGTGTCCCTATATAAGCGTCGGTCGACAAACTTCAAAATTTTATTCAATACCAGACGGACAATTTTTTTTCTGGTTCAACTATTTGCACTACGCGCGCTACAATTCAATTCAAGTTTCGTCTCAAACTGAGAAATGAAATAATTGATTAACTTTGAATTTTGAATCTTTATAATTTGTTGCGATAGAGCCATTTTGATCCCGGTTTAATTCTTTCCACTTTGATTTACTTATTGTAACAAAAAGTGGGTTAATCAGATATACGATTACAATTTCGATTATAAACTCAAAAGAAATACTAGTAGTGCAAAGGGTTAACATATACAATTACGAGATTATCAATCGTTTTAGAGATTCCCCTTTCACTGCAACGTGATTTTTTTTTTCATTGAAGCTTATATGACGGTAGCGTATCGTACACGGTTGAACGTGTGTTTTTATCATCTGGAACGCTATTGTAATAGAGACGTGCCATTACGACTAACAAGGGGGTCGTATAGCTATCCCACTGGAGATTTTGATGATATTTGGAGGGGGTAATCTGTAGGTCGATGACATTCTGAGTGTCGGATAACATCGTCCAGAATACTTCGTTCCAATAAGCATGCTTCATAAACTAATAGGATTCAACAAATATCCGAGCTATTATAACGATCAATCTTTCAGTAAAGTAAAAATAGAATAAAAAATAATAAGAAATGTACAACACTCAAATTTAGTTTATGCATAGATATTCGTTTTTCACTCGAATATAAAATGTTCAAATGTTTCCGATGAAGTGCTTTAATCTAAAAGCAAGTCGAAGCTCTTTTCCTTACATTTTCTAAGCGACACACTGTGTATTTTTCTCGTAGGTTACTTTTTAAACAAGTTCTTCAAAGAAATATTTAATCATCCAACACATTTATCCTCGTCCGAGTGTTTTAGTTAAATTGAAAACGATATAACCTGAAGATTATTCGATGTTGAAATTCGAAAAGGCCTCCCGGGACACCCTGTATAGACAGCAATTGCACACGTTTCGGGTTCAATGTGACTAATTAGCCAAAACGAAAACGGTCGGGAAGTTTCTCGTGTAAAATAGAATACATCGCGAATATTTTCGCTGACTTCGTGCGTATTTCCCTCGAATTTTCATTTAAGTTTCTCTTTTTCCCCTCCTGCCCCGTTTGAAGCGCGTCGAGTAAAAAGTTTTGCGCGCAACTTTTCGCGAGTATCCACTGCTCCCAGGCAAAAATATTCGCTGAATAAATTTGTTAGCGCGCTAATCCTTTGCGGTCGAAGCTGGGAGATATATATTAATTTACGCGGCAGAGTTTTCCGCGGCAAACGTTACAAATTAGATTGTCGGCGGTGTCTTCTCGTTTGCGCAAACCGGCGCGCTTTCTGAGACGTTGACCCGGTTTCGTTCAAATGTTTGTTTATCAATTCTCCCGCTTGGAGGTTTATCTCACAATCAGGACTTTCGAGTGTTAATTGAGCGACTTCCAGTCACTTTCGACCACTCGAAACCGCGTCTAGTATGCAATTTTCCGCATCCTGTTACCTTTTCTAACTCAATCCCCATCCTCACAACATTCTACCTGTAGACTTTTGACTTTTCCAGCCAGGTAAAACTATTCGCCAAGTAAATTCGTTGGGTTCGCGCAGATCCTATGGAAACAGAGGCCAGAATTCGCTCTGAAAATATTGCCTCTGGTAACAAGATTAGAAGTTTGCATTTAACAAACTTCAGTTTATAAACTCTTCCTTTTTTTCGGTGGGGTAAACGGAACTATGAAATTCTCTTTAGACAGTGATGGATCCAAACTTCCTTTTTATTTCCATTGGAGTCCCACGCTAATTTCTACAAAAATTTTCATTTTGAAAGTAACCTTTACAATTCGGCTTTTTATCATTCTTTTTTCATTACTAATTTATTCGTTTGTTTCAATAATTTCTACAAACATTTAAATTACTAGAATAACTTTTGTAACTCATTTCCTATAATTACTTTTTCGTTCATTCTTCCGTTACCTTTTATTAATCCATTTATGATTTAGCAAATAAAAAAAAAACATTAAACTGCGAATTCGTAAAAAAATATTTGGAAGAAAACGCATTCACACGCATCACACGCATTCTTCGAAAGATCGATCGTTGTTTAAGTTCGGTCCACGTGAAATTCGAAGAGGCGAATTTTCTTCGCCGCGTAAAATTCGTTAATACGTTCACAACGAATTAGAAGCGATAAAACGGTAGCGTGAATTCCAAGTATTTTACGGTGGGTGTTATAGTAATGAATGAAACAAGTGCGCGACAATGAAAGCCCGCCGATGATTAATACATCGTTAAGCAGCCAGCGGCGACGATACCGAAACGAAAGGATGCAAATTGCGCCTGGGACTCGATTAAAACTCGAATCTCGGTGGAAAACTTACGCCGTGCGCGAGAAATAATGCGCGTAATTGCCGTTAATGTTCCATATAAATTCCCGTGCTCGGACGGTCGAGCACTTTTCCAGAGGATTTTCCAATTCCTGCCGACACTTCCCGCGGCCACGGGTTCATTAACACCGCGCTCATTAATAATTCATTTCCCCCAGGTATCTGCTGATGACCGTGGAAGCGAACGGAATGAAGACACGCAAGTGCGTGTCCAACTGCACCGATCAGTTAGTATTCCATAATGCACAACTTTTCCCTAAATGACCATCGCTGCGTCCAAGCCGCGAAACGATCCACCACAATGGCGGATGGAGACATTACCGAAACAAGAGCGATATTTTGATTCGTTCATCTGTTATTTAGTATTTAAATAGTTTGACAAAAAATCGTATCGTAAACGTCCCCATTATCGACACATATTTCATAGTCGCAAAAATTATGTTTATTATTTTTTACATACATCACAACATAGAGCATTGTATGGCACGCATACAGTACACTTTATTGCTTTATATAAAAATAATAATTCTGTTTAAATTTAAATGTTTAAGGAACAAGTCACCAATCATCGAGTTCTCGAGTTTAGGTATCCTATTCACCGTCATATCAATGTATGTACGAGTATCCGGCATCATGTAATGAAAAATATAGTGGCTGCTTGTTGTAACACTTGTATCAAAATGAAATCAATATTGTTTTCAAACCGTTTGAAAATATCAATCGCTAGAATCACGTGTGTTAATTTCACGACTGTTCACTTTTTATTTGCCATTTCATTTCGTTTTCACGTATACATATTTTGATTACCATATTGCAGATATAAATAAATAGAGAATATATGTTTCACCAAAAAGAAGGGATTTTACGAAACTATTATTAATCAGATCGAAACTGTCGATGACTGGGGTAGTGTCGAATGTAGATGCACCTAGGTGTTTTAATATTTGCAAAAATGTCTAGCACATCCTAGAAGTAGTTTTTATTGTTAATTTAGTGTGAATGATTTTGGGAACAATTCATTCCTCGCGTGGTGTCCTCGTCTTTTTCCACAGGGTGATATTCCTGAATCGTTGCGTGCCCAAGCAGCTATCCGAGACGACCAACTCCTTTATCAAGAAACTCGGTTTGGACAATTTCTACAAGGTCTGTAGCTACGTTTTCAGTAAAAGTCGAATTCAAGTACGTACTGCGACTGTATTGGACTTAGATGTTTTCTATGTAGCCTAGCTAGTGTGATGATTCAGTTGCTAAATATCGGTATCGATGATAGAGGGTAGCAACCCCTAAGAGACACCCTATACCGAGTATCTCAAAATAAGTGCCAATCGAAATAACGCTTGAACTATTGATTTTATAAAATAATAGACGTTGCTAAATAAACAACTATTTTCGTTTTCCATTATTTTATAAAATCAATAGATTTTAGGTATCATGTGATTGGACGCTTGTCTCGAGGCACTCTGTGAGCTTCATCGATCTTTTTAACCTTTTCAATAAAATATTTCACACTATCAGTTGAGGGGTACACGTGTTGCTGTCTAGCTTTTATAAATCTAACAGAAACAAAGATTTTATCGTAGTCGTATTCTAAATTACACGAAGTAGCCTTTCCACTCACATGACAAACGACGGTGATTCGTTCCGAATAAAAAGACGATGAGAAATGGAATTCAAACGAGAGTAAGTACCATAAAAATGCGTAATTTCAAATAGAGTTGACTGCTACATCGATTCGTATTTACCTTAATCTCCGTGTCATGCTCGACGAAGAAATTAAACCAAACTAACCCCGAATTAACCCCAACTGGTAGAGTGAAGTTGATTCGTTCTTGATGAAAAAAGTAGGCGTCGCTATATGCTACTCATCCAAACTAAGTGCGTGGCTGTTCTTACATCGATGCTAGATTAATTCGTCACGCAATCATATACTGCAAAATAAATTTAAAACGAGCGCCAATTAATAACAAATACAAGTAATCGATGCTATAATTTCATTTTCGCTAAACATCATTGTATATTAATAATTTTCGGTCGATTATGGTTTACAATTCAATGGCTATTGTTTGTAGAGTTCCTTTTCTTTTGAATCGTTAATAGTTGAGCCTGTTGAATGTTCCATCTTCCGTTAATATTCAATTTCAAATTTTTTCGAGGGTTGAAGGAATAAACTCGATTTAGTTAACAAAAATTCTTAAATATACAATTCATACTTACTTCATTGGAGATCTGACGTAACAAACATTACATTAAAGAAAAGAATGTTTTCCTAATCGAATGCGTTCCTACAACCAAAAGAAAGAGGCTACTAAAAGCAAATATAAGCAGTTAGAAACAACGTCACCCTTGCAAGAACAGCGTAGATCGTATTGACCCCCTAATTAACCGATGCTTAATTTCCTGCAATTAGCAATGGAGCAATAAGAGTTGCGCATAATTTTAGGAGGCTTCCAGGGATTTGACCATCGCCTGGGTAGAGTTGGTGTACCTCCTGCTCATAGCTCTAGGTATGTACTTATCCCTTTTGCTCCCTTGCTCTCCGATATCAACAATCGAAATTCTTATCATTTTTCGTAAATGACTTTCAGCTATCTCGCTCGCTATCTTAATTGCCTTCCGTTATATGGTGCAGTGGGTCGTTTACATTGTCTTAATCGGCGCCATTCTCGCCTGTATCGGTGGCTCGGCGTACCTCTGGTAAGCTTATCCCTCTTTGTACCCCACGATACCATCGTGAGAGATCCATTGCACGATTTATATCCTAGACACGATAGAACGCGTGACCGGCGAATGTTGCTTAGCGTTCTCCGCCGTCTTTGGATGCTGTGTATCGTGAGTTGTCTTGAATCGAGAAAGCATTATCGTCCCTCAGGTTGGCGTGGTACAATGAAAAGAAAGGGGTGGAGGCGCACCAGATACCCGAGGAGGATTCCAGCCAAGAGGCCTACTTCGTTTATGCGATACTGCTGTCTTCCGTTACCGTAAGATACATCATATCTCAGCGCCTATACGTACAGACTTTAGATCCCAGATATCTTGACAACGACATCAGAGTGTCGCCAGACGTTTGAGTAATCTCCACAGCAAACAGAGTCCGGGATCAAACTTAGCGTGAAAATGTTATATTAATGTTGGCGTGGAGATCGTTCAAAGTGATTGCTAAAATTTATTTACTTTTCGGAAAGGTTCAAATTTCTGTATAGAAGAGGAAACGTTCTTTGTTGTAAGAGCAACGGTATCGTTGCAGGCTAGATTCTCTAGGGGACTCTTCGTCGAGGCTTTTCGGGAGATCTGTTCTCAAATAGGAAACTGTTTTCGATTGGTAGACGTATTTGAAACAGAATCCTCTAGTAAAGCCTCGCTAGAAAGTCCTCTAGCTAGGATCTAGAACGAAAGCTACGGTACCATTGCCCTAACAACCGAGAATATTACTTCTTCCATTTAAGTAAAGTGCTATTGCAATTGGACCGGTAACCCATAACCGAGCAGATGTCCATAACCGATACTTTAGTCTACCGTATACTCGATGCAGCAGTGCGATATCAGACGACCAGAAGGCATTATTATTATAAGCAGGGACACTTCGTTGCACCAGATGTCAAACACCTAAATTTCTTTTTGAATCGAACAAAATAAATTTCATTTGCTAGCTTGTCCTGAAATTTCGATCTTCTCTATGTGGAGAGAAATAATCTTGGTTCAATGAGCAACAGTATCGCAGCGTTTCGTCTTAGATTCACTAGAGGATCCTCTTCAGCAAGTATTTTCTAGAGGATTCTGCCTCGGGTAGGACCTTCAACCGCTATTCGAGTCAGGATCAGCTAGAAAAACCACCTCAACGAAGAATCCTCTGGCGAATCTAGGACGAAAGCTGCAGTGCCGTTACTCTAGCGGCCAAGAGAACGTTACTTGGTTGCACCAGGTGTGAGACATCCAGGTTTTGCAGTGGAATAATCCATAACTGAACAGATACCAACAACCGTCACTTCACCCTACCTACGCGCCGCATCAGCGCCAATACCAGGTGTAATTTTCAGGTTATCACGCTTTTGATTGTCTTGGTGATGAGGAAAAGAATCGCCCTGGTGATGCAGCTGTTCCGCGAGGCGGGAAAGGCGGTTTACGCGATGCCGGCACTTCTTCTGCAGCCTATATACGTAAATATCACGGCTACAGAATGATACATAGAGTCTACCTGAAAACGATGAAATGGTATTACAGACCTACTTGCTCATCGGGCTCGCCGTTTGCGCTTGGGTGTACTGCATGCTCTTGATCGAGAGCGCTGGGAACATCTACATGAATACGAAAAATCATATACACTTCAGGAAGGACGCACTTCTGATTGTAAGTTAATAGATTGTTTCGACGTCGGAGAACGTGGAGCAGACGCGAGTGTACCTTTAATATCTTGCAGGCTACCAGGTGGTACAATTTGTTCATCTTTTTCGTCACCTGCGAGTTCCTCCTGGGCTGTCAGCACGTTGTCGTCGCCTGCGCCGTTGCACGATGGTTCTTCACCAGGTGACACTGTGATCAATATCCGTGGTTTGCAGGTGGATTGCTTTCCGCGGTACTCGTGGGAAATTTCCATGTCCACTTTGCGTTAGGAGACACCAACGTGTTCGGTTGCCAGCTTCGAGGACACTTCAAACAGTTGACTGTCAAACAGTATTAACATTTTCCGGATTCGACGTCGAGATTAACCGGGATACCGTATCGTTCGTCGTCTTTGTCGTTGTTTAACCACTCAACGGCCGCGCCCGAGTTAACTTGGGCAACATAGTCGTTGGGATAATCATACGAAACGAGTGGCGCACCCAGACGTTTAGCTAGGGTGGTGCAATTAAGAATTAACAAGACCGCGTCGCGATACCTTTCGTCACTTTGTAAATTGTGTTGAAGGAGATAGAGGGAACATTTATTCGACTTTCTTTTTGCGTACAATGGAATTCTCTTCCAGTTCGATTTGATCTCTACGTTAGGTAACAGTTAGATAGTTGAATATCTCTATCTACAAAGAAACTACCGACATCCGATCGTGTCCTTTCGGAAAGCAACCAAGATTTGCTGGAAGAATTTTTGGCCATCGCCCAAACTAACCGAGCTATTCAGATGCCTTGGGGATGAGGGTAGTCAAACAACGCGGTGGTTAGGGATAACGTTTAAGTGTCCTTGGAGCGGCCAGTCGATTTAGTTGCGTCCACGGTACGATAGACTTACCGATTACACGGATAAGATCGGGGACAACTTAGTAGCCGAGTAACCGACAATTAACGTACACCCGTTCGATTATCGGTACGAGATTGTTAACCAAGGGATGAGAATCCAATTTCGAGGGCAGACACTTGCCCACGGATAATCGACGTTTTGCTGTAGCGCAAAGACAAATTCCCACTATCCCAGCAAGAGTGAGTCCCTCGCCAATTACAGGAAAGCAATCCAAGGTCAGAGGAGTTACGAACCTCATTAAGCAAATACCTTTCTCTCGTACAGAGACAAGAAGAAGCTCTCTCTGGCGGTAACACGGGGCTTCGGTTATCTCGTGCGATATCACTTAGGCACGGTCGCGTTCGGGGCACTGGTTATTGGTGTAGTTCGGCTCGTAAGAGCGATAATTTCCTTCGTCCAGAATCGCCTGAAGCGTTACGATAACGACCTTGTGCGGGGAATATTGTGGTGCTGTCAGTGCTGTCTCTGGTGTTTCGAGTGCGCTCTGAAATTCCTCACCAGGAACGCTTACATCGAAACAGGTACGCATTAGTTGGATTTTATGTAGACTTGTCTAAATCGGTCCCTTATATTAGCTTATCCTAAAACGTACTTGCGATGTAAAACAGATTAGTAAATCTGTTCCCTTCGATGAAATATTTCTATCGCGTATAATAACTATTTTCTTACGAATGTTTCCAGCGATATACGGATGCAACTTCTGCACTGGTGGGCGGAAAGCGTTCCAAGCGTTGGCAAGTAATATCTTAAGAGTCGCTGCCATTAACAGCGTCGGGGACTTTGTCCTATTTCTAGGAAAGGTTCTGGTCGTTACATTAACGGTCGTCAGCGGAATTTATCTGGTCCAGGTACGTGTCCAACGTCTTCTTTATCAGCGTGACTCCATCGTTCTAATTCCGGTGTGTGTTTAGAAGAAGGAAGGACTTCATCATCCCTGGGTGCCGATAGCGCTCGCTGGAGTGTTTGCTTTCCTGGTGGCGCACTGCTTCATCTCAATATACGAGGTTCGTGGACAAGTAAATCAAATTAAAAATAACTTATAAAAATACGCCTTAGGAAATTAAATAACAATCAATCGTATCCCTATAAAATTAACCATCGATTTTTGTGTTACAGATGGTCATAGACACCATATTCATTTGCTTCTGCGAAGATTGCGAGAAGAACGACGGCGTCGGTAGGCCGTACTACATGAGTCGTGGGTTAATGGTAAGTAAAACACGAGAAAAACATAGGAAAGATTTATTTGCATATACGAAAGTGTATTGTTCACTCTCTGTGATAACGTTTCATTAAAACGGTGACCTCTGTTTGCAGGAATTCGTCGAGAATAGCAAGAAGGCTCTGCAGCATCTGGATCATCATAGAGCCGGCGCGTAATGGCGATTGTTTGGTGTACTCGGTAGAAGCCAGTTCAGCATTTTAGAGATGCGAGAGATTTTTCAAGTCGTGCCTTCAGGAAACCTCGCGAGAAGGAATCACTGCGGCGTGATATCTTCGATAAGACTTTGGCGTATGAACGTCGTGGATGTGCGTTTACAGTCCTGACATTTCTTCCCGTCGCGGCATTTCCGTGAATCTTTTAAATATACAGAGTGTTTTATCTTGGTTGTCATAATACACGTGCTGCCCCACGTGGAGGAAGGCTGCCATGATATACAGACGATTTCTGTCCATGATCTCTTTTCGTAGCATTTTCCCAGACAGGAAGTAGATATAACTAGATTCTGTTCAAATAATGGATGACTAATTTAAACGTTTATCCTATCGAACAGTCATTCGGGATAATTTTTCTTTCATTTTTTCATTTCATTCGGTTACCTAAATTAGTTTTGTTCGCTATATAAATATAAGAAGCGGTAAAAATAGTCCGATAAAACTGTCTGCGGTTTATGGTACCGTTCCTATGCAGCGCTGTTCGTGTATGTAGCTGATAACGATAACGCCAATGAAGGGCAGAATTATATTCGGCAGAAATGTACGATGAACAAAAACACGGTATAGTGATTCATTGATAGAATTGTAAGTTTACATTCTGTTATACTTAACAAACAAAAGATATATATGAAATATTTGAGGCTTTTTATGATTGATACTAACTGAAGCTTTCAAATGTAAGTTGTGTCTTTTAAGTACTCTCCAACGTTTCGCCAGCATGGTAGTTAACTTCTTTAGGGATCAAATGAAACGCTGATATCGTCATTTGATATATCAATGATGTTATGACATATCAGTGTGATATTTGATCCTTACGAAACTAGCTCCATCGTTAAACACACGATCGCCTCGGTTAGTATCAATCAGCGGACATATGTATCATTCTTCAAAATTGTTTATTCAAATAACAATTCTGACCATCTTTGGCTAACGCACGCTTCGATATTCTTCTATAACAAAGAATGGATATAGATATTTTAATCGTTACCTACGCACACTTACTGTTACCTCGAGTCATCGTTATCGAAGAAGACTAGGTTGAGGAGTCTAGCTGATTAGGTAGCCGCTATAATCGTATGCGAACAAATGGTTAACATTCCGTATTGTTGCAATAGTTCCAGGATCATTGGCGATCCGTCACGTACTTTTTTTTATATCTTTTTGTACCAGTTCGTGACGTGTCCCAACGACGCGACGTATAGATAAAGTCGTTTCTAGCTTAATTGTTTCGAGTTTCAGTAAAAAATGACTTCGTTTGTAAAGTGCTGAATTAAAATGCATCATTAGAATGCGTCGTAGAAGCGTGCTTCTACGAAGGAAACATATTTTATATGCCAAAATATTTATAATAATGATGTTATAATGTATTTTTCATAAGTTAAGTAATATGTTGACTCAAAAATTTTATAAATAAAGTATCATTCAATGATTGACAGCTCCTAACAGTCTCTTACCTTGGTAGCACCCGACAATGCCTGAAAGCCTCTCACACACCTAACACCATACAACTACATACTTTACAGTAACATATTAACATACAATTGCAAATCGAAAATATTGCTTTTTCAAACCATATAGCCGCATGCAAAAGAGTAAAAAAGTTGCAAACACAAAATGTTTCCCATGCGATAATGACATCATATACAGCACTGTGGAAATTTTCATATACAGCATCGTGGAAAATAAGGGCAGGAGTCGCCCTATTATGCGGCAACCTGTTTCTCTGTTTGTCGGTCCGGTTGCCTGTTCGTAGGCGCAAAAGTGCCACCTCGTCACATATCATGTTCTCCTGTTAAACAGGAGTAAAAAAATCCGACATTACCCATCACAATTTGAGCGGGGCGATTTGCAACATTGTTGAACTTGACGCTGCTTAAAATTCAATAAAGTGGCAACTCAGAAGTTCGGAAAAATGTGACAGA